TTTGCCCTTTGGGAGCGGGAATTTTTCCCCCCCTGAAAAAAAGGCAGCTGGGAAGGGAAAGGCAAATGAATCCGTGTGTTGGTACATGATGAATCATTTATTTGCCTCTGGCAGCAGATGTGAAATCCCACCACGGCCCCCCTCGGGGCAGGTCAGCTCTTCTCCTGCCCCTGACGTGGGGGTTCCCGTCGGTTCCAAACCCGCTCGCTGAACCAAATGCTCCGTGCTGGGGCCTGGTCCCTGTCACAGGCAGTCTGTGCTGGGAAACGGCTTCCAACGGGAGCAGGGTAGATTTAGATTGCGTATTAAGAGGGAATACTTTCCTGTGAGGGTGGTGAGACCCTGGCACAGGTTGCCCAGAGAAGCTGTGGGTGCCCCATCCCTGGAAGTGTTCAACGGCAGGTGGGATGGGGCTTGGACCAACCTGGTCTGGTGGGAGGTGTCCCTGCCCATGCAGGGGGATGGAACTACATGATCTTTAAAGTCCCTTCCAACCCAAACCATTCCTTTATTCTGTGATTTGTTGAAAGGAGTGTAGCATTCAGGTCTTGCTCACCCATCCTAGTGAGCAGCTCCTGGGGTGGTACCAGCAGGGTCGGGGCACCCGGAGTGGCACAACCCTGTTTGTGCTTCCTCACAAAGATCCTTCTTTCCTCACAGATCTGCTGTGTTGTCTCAGACTTTCACCCCTTTATCTGGTTCGTTGCAGGCAGCGGCGGCTCTGGGTCTCTGGTGTGCCAACCTACCAGCAGCAGGAGGTTTCTCCACTAAACAGGAGGATTTTGTCCATCCCTAAAGCTTTTAGTCGGGTGTGGTATAATTTCTGCGTGTTCCCTCCTGGCCTGCAGGAAGGCACAGGCCTGGGTCTGCCTCGTTTTTCGGCTGTGGGATGCCAATTGCCTAAGGATGGGGAAGGGGAGATGATCCCTCGACTTCTTCAGCTGTGCCTGGAGTGCAGGATTGTGTGCATTTCAGGAGGATATTGTTAATGGAGGAGGGGATTGTAATACCATTGTAATGCCTTTTGCATTACTTGTTTTTCTTCTTTCAGTACTTGAAGCTAAGAAGTTTTTTTAATATCTTTGAATATTTTCTTAATTAATGTTTTACTGTAATTATTTTTCTTATATAAGGCGTGATGAGAAGGCATGATTTCTTATTCCATAACTGTCAGCATTCTAAAATGAAAACAACTGATTTTGTAGTCATATTTCTGTTAATACTAACAAAGGAGAGTCCATTTTATTTTGACTCCAAAACCAAATAAGGTCATTATAAAATTGTAATTTCTTTATCACATCTCCGAGCTTCTGCATATACAAGATTCTTGCAAGAAGACCTTAAGTATCCGTTTAGATGCCAAAAAAAGCTATTTGTAGATATTTAGTCTAAATTATCCTTTCCTCCATTAGACACAGCTCATCTGGCAGTCTCACAATAAACCTGCCTTACCTTTAATGGATTCTTTCATGGATTTTATTAAGAAAGATGAGCAAGCAAACACATAGACACATCTGGATGAGGTAGTTCACAAAACGTTTGACCAGCCATAGATAGAACAGTGAAGGCAAGCTCACAATTCAGTGAGAAGCATCCTCTCCATTTACAACATCACGAAGGTGATACAGCAGGTTATAAGACAATATTTTTAAGGAACTACTTTGTATTAATTTTTCTTGCATTCATAAAATGTAAGGAGGTAATATTTTGCTGTTTATTTAACCATGCTATCAGTAAGGGCCTATTCTGGCTTTAGGCCTTGCTTATAGGAAGTCACATAAAGAAGGCAGTGAAGCTGTAGTGGAGTACAGACATGGCAAGTTAAGCACAAAAACCCATTAAATAAGCTCACTGTGTTCTCTTTCGCAGAAGAAAAACCTCAAAATTTTATTACCTTTCCTTTACTCTATTCATGCAAGAATACATCTTACAGGCCTTATTTGCATGTCCTCAGCATTTTTTAGGCATTCTGAACTCCTACAAGACTAAGGAGTTGTAGCCTGCTCAATAGAGTTGTTTTATGGGCTTTAGGTCACATAAAGACAGGGAAGTGAGGTGTTGAATAGCCTCTCTGCTACCCAATCTGTCTGCAACTCTGCTGACTTTTTTTATAAAAATACAGACTGCCTTTAACTTTCTTACCAGAACAAATTCCACTAACGATAAATAATTTCAAATGTTCCTACCTTCAAATTCATATTCTTACCTAAAATTCTCACAAGGGAATGAGATCTCTTCCCAATACCTGTTTAACCCATTTTAGCCAAACCTGTTCATCTGAGATTAACGTAATAGATTTTCTTCTTTTTAGTCTGGTAAAAAGAGTTGGAAGCAGAATGGGAGTTTAAATCTGTATGTGACGGCACACTGAGGAGGTTCTGTAGTTCAAGGACTTCTTAAAAGTCCTTTTACAGTCATTTACTTATTTATTGCCACCCCAATATTGTCTTTTGTTTACATTTCCCTGCAGTGATCAATAATTTATTGCCTGCTTTTTCACAATGAAGGCCATGGAGGACCAAGTAGTCCAAGAAGAACCAGGATACCATGATGATGAGGTAAACTTATGGTTAATTGGAAAATAAGTGCAGAAAATAGGTGCAAAATACCTTGTTTGAAGGTATTTTGATAGTATTATGAAATCCAAGGAGAGGCAGGAGGTCCCTAAAGATCATCAGGGAGTTCAATGCTTTTAAAATTTTGTTCCAGTCTAATGCTGAGAAATTCTCATTCTATTAGTCCCTGTACAGCCTTGCTCTTCAAGTGCTCATCATTAAGCTTTCAAAACTATGCAGTTTTTAATAGGATTATCATTATTTACTTGTATTTCAGACTCCTATGTTAAATGCAAGGAGACTATCAGTTTTATGTTTCCAAGCAATAGTCATCAGCCTGAAAAGACTGAGGAACTGTGGCAGAAGGAATCAAGATGATGATGATGATGATGACAACACAAGTTTTATTAGCACAGCAGAGCATTACTTGCCTGTGAAAATACAGTTTATGAAGAAAGTGATAGGAAATGTGTAGGCCTTTTTGTTTCACTGTGGCTTTTCTTATTTGGGCAGTGCAGTAAGTTACGTATTATTAGGAAAAATAATGTAAATCTTTACAAATTCAAATCAGGCACATAGTGAAATAGGTGTGATTACAAGAAAACTTTTTTTTTTTTTTCCTGCTATTTTTTCAGGAATCATTTTTTCAGGATATTGACCTGCTACAGAAGCATGGAATTGTGAGTATTAGCAATGACTTTATCACATAAAGCTACTGTAAGGTCATTTCTCCAAAAGCTTTTACACATTGATACAAGTAACTGAATTTCCTTCTTGCAATACATTCTAAATCAGTCATGTGTAGAGAAACGTTGCCTTTGGTGATAAGACAGGTTTGCAGAAAATCTCATTCCTGTCATATTCCTAAATAAAGTGGCAAGATATTCAAAGTATTTAGCACCCAGCACTCTTGAAAAACCAACAACGTGCTAATTTATTTGAAAACTGTGTGATAGATTACTTCCTGTTCCTGCCAATCTTTGTAATTACTCCTGCATTTTTGGTGCCTGTGAAATTACACTGTGACAATTGCTGTTAGACTATTTCCATCATACTGGCGAAGGGGGTAGAGTGGGAGTGAGGAAGGTATTAGCAGTAAGAGAAATAAGTGGTTCACTTTCTTCATTAAATATTAATTCCTATAATCATTGTAATATAATCATTGATATTGCATAAATATCACCTCTTTATTTGAATTATTAATATTATATGTTTATCTAGGAGTCTAGCTTATGGGGGCTGTTTAGCCTTGAGAAAAGAAGACTAAGAGGGGACTTTATTAATGTCTATAAATATCTGAAGGTTGGATATCAAGAATGGGCCAGGCTCTTTTCAGTGGTGCCCTGTGATAGGACAAGGGGAAATGGCACCAAGCTGCAACACAGGAAGCTCCACCTCAACATCAGGAAAAACTTCTTTACTGTGAGGGTGACAAAGCACTGGAACTGGCTGGCCAGAGAGGCTGTGGAGTCTCCTCTGTAGACTTCAAGACCCATTTGCTGTGTGACCTGCCCTATGTGTTCCTGCTGCAGCAGGGGGGTTCAACTTGATCTTTAGAGGTCCCTTCTAACCCCTATGATTCTATGATTCTTATTAGGTTCAGTGTTACAGAAGCAGAATAAGAAGTTGGGTTTGCCTGAAATAATGGAAGACTTAACTCTAACACAAATTACTGCAGATGGATATAGATGAGGAAGACACAGACACATTGAAACAGTGTTAGTCAGCACTAGAGTTACTGGGCTCAGCGTGTCAGCAGTGTAATTGTTGGCAATCTTTTTTATTGGCAATTCACCGTCAGCTTTAAAGAGAGTTCTGAAGAAGAATCATAAGGGCAAGAGCTCTAACTGTGGGGCAACATAGGAAAAATGCACAAATTATTGTGTAAAAAATATAACAATTTGACCAAAGAGGGTGACCTCGTGAGCTGTAAGGGAGCTGCACCAGCCTGTCAATATTAAATGAAGCATGGTATGCAGAGAATGATACTAAGGTATGAAAGATCTTGAAAATAAAGAATAATTACTTAGGCTGTTCTTCTGACTTAGTAAGGGTTTCCTGCTCCTTTTCTTTTTCCTGTGGTTATTACCACATCCCAGGAAAAGGTTTTCTTCTCAGCTCTGACACTTTATGTCAAATCTTTATGTGAACTTACAATCATAGAATCATAGAATCACAGAATCACAGAATCCTAGGGGTTGGAAGGGACCTCAAAAGATCATCTAGTCCAACGCCCCCTGCCAGAGCAGGGTCACCTAGAGTACATCACACAGGAACACATCCAGGTGGGGTTTGAATGTCTCCAGTGAAGGAGACTCCACAACCTCCCTGGGCAGCCTGTTCCAGTGCTCTGTCACTCTCACAGTAAAAATTTTTTTTTGGATATTCACTTTGAACCTCCTATGCTCCAATTTGCACCCATTACCCCTTGTCCTATCACTGGTCATCACTGAGAAAAGCCTAACTCATATTTGTAAACATTGATGAGGTCACCCCTCAGTCTCCTTTTCTCCAAGCTAAAGAGACCCAGCTCCCTCAGCCTTTCCTCATAAGGGAGATGTTCCACTCCCTTAATCAATGACCCATATCTGTTCAATTCATTTGCTTAAATAAATATTTTTTGTGGGATTATAAAGGTTTTCCTAGGAGCAGGGAGAGAAATATTTACTAGATCTGATGGCGCAGCCACAAAGAGAGTCAGATTAGCACAACCTAGGCTGCGGTTTGAAGTTCAGAAGTGTTTGGTAGGAATTAAGGTGCTGTGACCCCAAGACTGTGCTGAATGTTCCTGCCCTTGGAGCATGCTATCCGTTCTTCTGGCACATCTGCTTTTGTAGTCACACTGTGAACTAGATTTGTGAATCAATTAGTCAAAAAATTACCACATCAAAAAATGTGGTTTACTTTTTTTGTTTGTAAATTCTCTGCCTGCTCCCTTTTCCACCTCAGGGAGAGGGCTGCAACATTAAGGTAGGAACTTGGTTGGTACATAAGCTGTTGGTGAGAGGTGTATATGAGGGAGAGAACAAGGACTTCTGTAACTGGGTTTACCACACAAAGACTTGTAATGCAGAACAGCCTTGAGGCTGATGTGACCAGGAAGACAGAGCCACTGAAGGAATGCAGAAGCAGGGTAACACTTTTAAAATTTTGGTCTAAAAAAAACCCTCTTTGCAGAAATATTCTGTTGTCTTAATAGGAAAATACAATAAAACCACTTGATTCTTTTTGTATTGCTGGTTATTATATTTTTTGGGTGGAAGAGTAATTTTTATTCGTGACCGATTTTATCCACCTCTATTCATGTAATAATTAAAAACCACATTACAGGATGAGAAATAAGCTTCCCAATGAACATGACTAATTTCTAACCTAGACCCCCTCCGTTCTTATGTCATATGCACCCACACGCTCCAGATAGATGATACATCCACTTCATAGTTTTTTTCTCAAGGAAAAATCTTGCCTGGAAATGGTAAATTGAAGTATTATCCCAAACTTCTCACATGGTATGTTTTCTTGTGAGTAATCTGTTACTTGCCTTTATGTTTCCAGTGATGTCAAAATCATAAAATGAGGTAAGAGGAGGCAAAATCTGTCTGTAGGGCACTTACCAAGGTCATGCTGTACACAATTTATGAAAAAAACAGTAAATTCACTCCAGCCCAAAGTGTCGGTCAGATCTGGAGGACACATTTGTTTTAAACTAGACATGCTATGAACATGCAGAAACATTGCAGCAGTTCTGGCAGTCCTTGGGAGTCAAGTCCCAATAAACCATGATGAGATTATCTTGTTTACAGATTATCTGCACTTAGGGACCAAGGACAGATTGAGTGTTATAGAGTTTAGTAAGGTGGGCTCCATGCTATCTGAAATAATCCCTATTGTTTCCCTACTACCAGCCTGGATCTGGAAAGACTGGCACAATTAACCATAAATGTATAATAAAATGTGTTTCAAATATTCACAGTCTAGTTGTTAACTGTTGTGAGTACTCATGGAAGAAAACTTTCTTCACAGAACGTAGCAGATATTAAAAAACTGAAGGCAGTTGGAATCTGCACAATCAAAGGAATTCAGATGACCACAAGGCGGGCACTGTGCAATGTGAAAGGGCTTTCAGAGGCCAAGGTGGACAAGATTAAAGAAGCTGCAAACAAGCTTATTGTAAGCCAGTCTCTTTCGTGATACTTAAAACTTAAGCAGGCCTCTCAGAAATGCTGTGCAACATTTCTCTTAACAGATTTTTTTCACCACATAATCAAGATGATTTTGAAAATTATTCTGCTCATTACTCTAAAGGAATAATCCTTGATACTGCACAGCAACCAGACAAATGCTGTGGTGCTTCTCCTACCCAACCTGTGTAAATGAGGCTAGGGTGGAGAGGGATATTTATATGGGATGTTGCACTTTGGCTTCAGGTTAAAGCTAAACCAAACTTCTCATGTTCTCTATGGTCTTCCTTAGGAACCAGGCTTCCTGACTGCCTTTGAATACAGTGAAAAACGGAAGATGGTATTTCATATTACCACTGGGAGCCAGGAATTTGAGTAAGCTGATCTCTACTTAAATCCCCCCTTAGTCCCACTTTTTTCTTTTTTTTCACTAACCATATTTATTGTTTCTAGTGAGACACAGAAATATAAAGGAACAAATACTCAGCTAGGACACATAGGTTACCTTGCATTTGGAACTAGTGCTGGCTTAAAGCTGCCTGCATCATTAAGCAACAAAACCAGCTCCTTATCTGAGGGGAAACTGGACTTGGTACAGCCATTCTAAATAATCAGAAGTTTGCATCCAGAAATCCCAAGCCTATCACCATTATTTTAATCTATTCAAAGCAACCTGCAGGTCTCAGGTTGAAACTGTGAGTCTTCAAGACCTTGCTTTAGATATTTTTATGGAATGTTGTATTTTCGAAGGTATTTTCTCCCTTCTTTCCAGTAATAATTTATATAGATCTTTCACTTGCACATAGAAAGGAACATTGAGACCAAGTTGAATCTTTATGAACTAGTGATCATTTAGTGTTCTGCACTTAATGCATCAAGTGAGGGGTTTTGGGGCAGAAATAACTTTTCTCAAAGTAGCAAGAATTTCTCTGTTTTACTTTCCTCTTGTGAATTTAACTATATAATAATTCTCTCCCTTTCTTTAGTAAACTTCTGGGTGGTGGGATTGAAAGCATGGCAATCACTGAGGCCTTTGGAGGTGAGGAAAACACGTTAAATGAGTATCACTGAACAAAGAATTGCAACTTAGTTCAGGTTTTAAATCAAGCTCTCTTCTAAGAAATGGATCAAGTTGTGGTCATGAGTACTTGCATGACTGTAAGAAGAAGGAATTCACTTCTCTTACTGTTTTCCCATTTTTTCCCCTTCATTTGCTTGCAGAATAAGTTTGAGCTGAGTAATCATCAGACCTGAGACATGACATCATTAACACTAACGTGTCCCACAGGAAAGATTTCCTGGAAGCAGTCTCTGTTCCTTTCCAGTAACAAAACTGCCACGAAAGGCATTTTATTTATGCACACACAGGATACATTGCATTTTATGTAAGATTTTGAAATTACAATTAAGCTACTATTATCGTAAATTTTATCAGCTAGTGATTAACACTCTGGTAATAATAAAGAGTTTGTAAACCACAATATTCTTTAGAAAAGATGAACTGCAGACTGACATGGCTTGATATAATGCGGTTAATGAACTCAAAAGCTTCTCCTTGATCATTTTACTGAAAATGAAACTGGGCCAGGTCAGTGGAATCAACCACTTCTTGCCACCCCCACACCTCAATTAACACTTCTCCACAGATGCCATGTGGTATTTGACTTCTACAGAGAAAAGAAAAAAAAGTTCCCAGCAGTCAAGTATGATAATGTGAAAGCATTTCAGAGTTTGCTTTTTATGTGACACATTTCTACTGCATGGAATATGATCTGTAAATTGGGATTAAATGATGTTAAAAGGTAGAGATAGAGATGAATTTTGTAATTAAGGGTGTTTCTCACTGCAGTAACTCCTGAATCTGGCAAACTCAGAAAAAGAAACCCTGACCTTTTTGTTTTCTTTTGGTCTTTTTCTTTATTTAACAGAATTCCGGACAGGCAAAACCCAGCTATCACACACCCTTTGTGGTAGGTGCACTGCCTTAAAACAGGGAACAGTTTCTTCCCAGTATATTTACAACTATACCAGAATTAAACACAAATCAGAATCTTTTATCTCTAGAAATCCAGTGAAACAGACCTGGTGACTCTTACCTCCACTAATAATTACTTTTTATTATTGCTCATATCAATGTAAGTTTTGCCACAAGGAGAGAGAAGATTCTTTTTTTTTTTTTTTTCTGGATAAAAGAAAGCTCAGCAGAGACCTCATAGCAACCTTCCAGCACCTGAAGGGGCTACAGGAAAACTGGGGAGGGACTTTTTACAAGGGCATGTAGTGATATGACATAGGGTAATGGATTAAAACTGGAAGAGGGGAGATTTAGATTAGAAATTCTGCATTATGAGGGTGGTGAGACACTGGAACAGGTTGTCCAGGGTAGTTGTGGATGCCCTATCTCTTGAAGTGTTCAAGGCCAGGTTGGATGGGGCTTGGAGCAACCTGGTCTAGTGGGAGGTGTCCCTGCCCATGCAGGGGGGTTGGAACTAGATGGATTTTAAGGTCCCTTCCAACCCAAACCATTCATGGTTCTATGTTTCTAAGATAATAGACTGTCTTAGAGAAACCAGTGAAATGCCACCATTTGGAAAAGCTAAGCACAAATATGGGTTACAGGTAGACAGAAGCATTGTCCAGAAAAGGGCACAGGCAGGATTCTTTCTCAACAGCTCTTTTAATTTCCTGGTTTCAAGGGGTTCTGCTGAACATGACATTCTGAAAGGGCACTGAAAGGATACTACCGGCTGACAGTAACCGGATAAACAAAGATTTTGGCAGTCACTGTATTCAGCAGTGCCAAATACAGCAGGACTCTGATTTCCCAGTGATATCTCTCAATGTATAAATGGTAGTAAATAATAACTAATCTAACTCTTAATCTTGCTGGAATATAGTTACCAGACACTGGATAGGCAAATATTCTTTTAAATGAACCCTATATTGTAAAGGGAATTGTGGCACCTTCTGGAAAAATAAGGCCTCTTCCATTTAGTACAGTAATGGTCAGCAGAGTCATATCCTTTTGTATGGGTGATTACAACTGAATGAATGATTTTAGCTTATTCACTTCAGAGGGACTAAACCTGTGCAATCAATGACTATTGACATATCAGGAACAATTCATACCCAAAGAATTTTTGATCATATGAATTACAATTTGGAAAAAAAACCCCTAGTAAATCTATAGCATTCATTTGGGCAGAGGATTAGGAGGATGCTTTGTGCCCAAGAACCTCTTAATAATATCCTTACCTATTTTCAATAGAACACATACAGATTTAGTGGTGGTACTGAGTAATACACAATTCTGACACCACTCATTTAATCTCATTTGATCCCCAATTGAGAAAAGTGGCTTGAGTTTCTTCTCAACCTGGCATTAAGACTTGATTTTCACATCAGTTAAAACTGGTGGTTCTCTGTGTTATGGATCAGCAGTCATAATGCATTAAAAATAATTACAGAGGAGCAAGACAGTATTTTTCCTGCTTTTTCATTTTCATCTTCTATGATTCACTGTAGTGACAGCTCAGCTTCCAGGACCAAATGGATATACAGGTGGAAAGATTATCTTCATTGATACTGAAAACACTTTGTATCTTTTGGACTGTTGAAAGCTACAGGTAGGATGAGCTGGAGAGACAGTTCCTTTTGTTATAAGCAAGGAGGAGGTTCCAGATAACTTTATATGTGTAAAACATTACGACCGACATAGAAAGTCTGGAGAACACATTGTGTAGTGGCCCTTTTTTTTTCATAATTTGATGTAATCCAACCTGGAAAAATTAGAGTTAGGATACAGATTTTAACTGTTTGGGGTTTTTTGTTTTGGTTTGGTTTTTTTAGATCTAATATGCCTTCTTCATAATGACACAGGTGATAGCAGCTTTTCTATTTACTTCAAGAGAAACTCATCTAAGTACCCAACACTATTTTTAACACTTCGTATCTGTGGTAGACTGTGTATAAATAGGTTTTGCTCACAGCTAAATTCCTAGAGCACAGATATCCATATGTCAAACTCCCCACCTCAAACTCTAAACACAAAACAATCACCATACCCTAAACTATCTTTAGGGTACGTGGGACTGTGTGAAAAGAAAAAGTCAGCCTTCTCTAGGATTAAAAGAAATATCCTTCGTTGTTTTTCCACAGTTCTGTTTTGGAGTGGAGCTTTATTATTTTCAGAGCAGGGTATGTTCAAAGAGAAAATCCTTAACTTTGAACAACGTCAGCCGGCCGGACCGTCTTCGCGACATCGCTGACCGCTTCAGCGTTGACCCCGACGCTGTGCTCGACAACGTGCTCTACGCACGCGCCTACACCAGTAAGACCACTGTTGCAGCCAGCATGATAGCCATGTGGGGTTTTTTTTTTCCTCTAAGGCTCCTGTTTTAACAGTCCTTAGTTTATTAACTGAGACTGCCCACCAAGGATCGTGAAGAATGTTCTGTTGCTAAAAAAAATAAGTGATAAGCTTGCCTCCATTTTCTGCTCCTGCTGTTGTACACCAAGTGGGCTTCCTCAGTGAAGTATTCCAGCTCAGCTGCACTGCATAAACAACAAAGTGCTGCAGATTTTGCTGCAACGTTTAGTGAACTCTGCCATGTACATGGCAAGTGTCACTGAAGCATTTTAGTAAAATGAGCACCAATTAATGTAACCACAAGGACCTCAATACAGGCTAATTCTATAAACGCTGTTGAGAAATTCTCTATGATCTTGTGAATGGAACCTTCTAGGGACAGCTCCAACACACTTGGTCACAGGACATCTAAATGGGACTTTAAGTGTACAATGTAAACATGAACATGTGTTTAATTAAATATCTCTGTGTCATTTAATTCAATACTAAATTCAAAAGTTTATATTGCTTTTAAGTTCTTAACACAGCAACAAAAAAAAAAAGTTGTCTCCATGCTAAGTTTTGATGTGAGGATTTTCACAAAGAAGTTTCAGCAAGTGGAAACTGGAACCTGCAGAAGCACAGGCACTGCTGGTTACTGTAGAGGTAGCTTGTTATTTGGCACTGGGTTTAAAATGGTGGGCAGTGAAAATATAAACAGGGCAGGCATCTAAAGTAGAATTTTAAAATTCAGGCTTTTGTTGCTTCAGGCCCTTTCTGGTCTTAAATTCATTTGGCAACTGTACTTCCCACCAGGTGAACATCAGATGGAACTGCTTGACTACGTCGCAGCCAAGTTCCATGAGGAAGCCGGTATCTTCAAGCTGTTGGTACAAGAGTAGTTTTTTTATATGCTTACTGCTTTCAGAATAGGTTTTCCTGGTTTTTTTCCCCCACTATATTTACTTATCTAGCAAAATTACAATGCAGATCATTGACTCCATAATGGCACTTTTCCGTGTGGATTTCAGTGGTCGTGGAGAGTTGGCTGAACGACAACAGAAACTCGCTCAGATGCTGTCAAGGCTCCAAAAAATATCAGAAGGTAAGGAAACATTGCAAAACCTGGAAAACATAGACAGGAGTTACTGAAACAGTAGTTGCTGGTAGCACAACCACTTCCTAGACCAAGTCTGCTAGCAATCAGGCACTGGCCTGGGAATCTTTCCTCACTTTACACCCATCATTTACCAAAAAGATTCAACTGATAGTACATTATTTCAGGATGATTGATCAAGGTGTCTTTAGAACTATTCAACATGTAGAGTTTTCCTAGGAATGCTCTCAAGAGAAGTCCTAAATGAGAGAATAGGTTGCAGAACTGGACAAATACCCAGTAAGAGAAACCATCTTCTCCAAATTTTGCCAGTTTAAATACATGAGAAACATGAAGAACAGAAAAAAAAGGATGAAGGCAGAGAGAGAGACAAAAAAGCTGGGCCCATTGCCATGTTCCCAGTACTTTGCAATGCTCCGAGGGATCATGACAGGATGAATAGGATCCCTCCTCTTTGGAATGTCTCAGAAATGTTGATGAGGAATGAGTACATGTTTTTGTTGTTGTTGTTTTTCCACGCAGTAAATAAATATATAAATAAAATACTGACAAAGGGAGGGAGAGTGGGCTAGGGGCAGGGAGCCAAGAGAGATGGGAACTGAGAAAGACTTGTTCAGTGAATTCTGAAAAGTGCTTATTTTTTTTGGCATAAGTATTACAGCCAAAGTCACAGGAGCAAATTTAGGCTGTCTCCTGATTAACTCCAGCCATCAGACATAAAGAATATTTGCTTCCCTTTGTTTTGAAATTTGAAGTGCTTCAGCACCAGCCTTGCTTTTACCATGGCTGGCAAAATATTTTGAAATTCTGATTGGATGCAGTCCATCTTCTTTGCATTCTATTGCAGAATATAATGTGGCTGTGTTTGTGACCAACCAGATGACTGCTGATCCAGGAGCAACTATGACGTAAGACACCTTTTCTCATTCTCTTTTCAAAAATTTAATCTCAGTTGTATCACATAGATAACAGAGATGAGAGTTGAGACTGTATGGAACAAGAGGCAGGGAAATAAAGGTCCAGATTGGTCATCAGCCCCCCTAGTATGATGAATCATTCATGGATGACACCTACAGGTTTTTCTCAGTTTTTATAATGAGTTTTTTTATGTTTACCTGCTGCCTGGCAGGATGGCTTCTTTCACTGTGGCTTAAATGAAGAGAAGAAGCCATAAAAAGTATGGGGAAAGCACCCTGTTTTCTTTTGGAGCAGCTTATATTTGAAACTTAAGGTGTTTACTTCCTGAGCCTCTTGAATTTAATGAGAGGAATATTATGGCAGCACTGAGCATTTGAACATCCGATCTTGAGGTAAGTGTGTTAAAAGTCCTTTTAATGATCTATTTACCTATTTATTATTAATCACTGAGTTCTATGCACCTTGTCTGGCAGTTAATAACAGTATTAACCTATGGAATTTGCACAGTGAATTAGGACAATTTTCTTGCTAACTTAGCTTTCAGGCAGACCCAAAAAAGCCCATTGGGGGCCACATCCTTGCTCATGCTTCAACTACCAGGATCAGCTTGAGGAAAGGGAGAGGGGAGCTGCGTATTGCAAAGATATATGACAGGTAAATCACCTTTCCTTCACAGGGAAGAAGCTGTGTTATGAGCATCCATAAGGTAGCAAAGTTCATGGTACTGAAACTTCACAGCTTGACAGCCAATTCATAGTTTAACTAACCACGTTTCTGGATGGTAGGCTAAGAGAAAATCTGACAGGACAAACTAATTAAGAGAGTTAAAAGTTGCATACATTAAATTATATAATCTTTGATCATAAATCCCACTAGATGCTCATCTCTTAAAGAAGACCATCAAGTAGTTTGGTAAGACTCGTGATATCATGGCAGGAAAATTCCAGAGCTGTTAAATTACTAAGATTTGCTTACACAATTAGTAACACTTTACCTGCTATGCTGTGGCTGACACAAGTCATTAAAAGTCGCACTAGCGGAACTGCATGGAGAGACCAAGTGTTTCAAACTAAGAAACTGAAATCAGAGTTTGCAGACAGCACCTTTCCTTCTCCTGCACCTTCTCCATTCCCCTCCCATGTGTTCATCATCTTCCAAGAGGTGGATTTCACATTTTCTGGTCTCAGTAGTACTGGTCACATTCTACAGTTTGCACACAGGTATAAAGATGTGGAGCCATTCCAGGTTGTTTACACTTAAAACATTTTGGGGGCTGTTTCACAACTGAGTTTAACCTGGGGAAACACACAAGTTGTTTCTTTTATTTTTTTTTCCCTTCCAGTCCTGAGATGCCTGAAAATGAAGCCACATTTGCAATAACTGCTGGAGGGATTGGGGATGCCAAAGAATAGACAGAAAAAAGGATATAACTGTTCAGCTGAAAACCACCTGAGCAGTTGGGATGAAGGTTTGTGCAAGGTCACCAGCTGCCTGGCTGCATTTCTATCTGTTGGGAACCATTTGAGTTATTTTTTGGGAGAACACTGGGATGAACTCTCTACAGTTCAGTTTTATTGATCTTAACAGAATTTGGTTCATTTAGCATCTTCATTTTTCAGTTGAACTTTCAGCAGACAAAGATTTAAAAAATAAGCTTGTGAATTGTTCAAAGAATCCTCGTCCTACATTTTATGAAAGTCAAAGCTGTCCTTTTACATGAGATTGGTGTACTCTTTTTTAGTTTATTTCAAAGACAGTTTCTATGTGGTAGAATTGTGCAAAATGGAACAGAATTGGAATAAACTCAGCTATAAAATTGGCAGAAATAGATAGAAAAGGCAGTAAAAGGAGCACTTCATGGAATCTCATGTACCATAGAACAACAGCTACCTAAAACGTATTTTTTTAGGCATTTTTATTTTGACTAGGTAGTTTTGTATTTTTATTTAGCATTTTCTGTTTCTTGGATTGAATCTTTTAAAACTGTTCTTACTGAAGTTAAAAAATAAAGATTGTTAATTAGAACAGCACTCCTCTCATGTTTGGGTGTTTTGGATAAAAACCCCGCTCGCAATAACCTCACTGACCAGTCATGAGAGAAATAAACTGGAAGCTGACATTTTAAAACCTTTATCTAGTCCTCTAAAGAAACAAACTTTACATAATTGCCTTTCCAGCCTCAGAATATAGACAGAATATTAAAGGTTATTATTATTAAATAATATTCAATATTAAAAAGCAACAGAAGAAAACAAAACAAAACAAACAAACAACCACCAGTGGCTAAAGAGGGGAGAAAGGCTGAAACTGGTACTTAGACTGAGGGAATGGGCACTTAAGACTCAGCTTGTCTGCAGGCCAGTCAGCGCAGGCATGGCTCCAAACTGGGAACATGGGAGATAGAAGCTGGGAGTAAAGACAGAAATATGGGATTACAGGACCAACTACTAGTTCAGATTGCATTACCTCAAATGCTCATGGAATTGCTTGTTTCAAAAGAAACTAACCAATTTATACATTAGAGGCTTTAAAGGAAGGCCTTTCTTTGTCCTCTTAAAGTCTGGTTAGAGAGCTTGTTGTCAGAGATAAGAATGTTTTCATTTTGATTCACTAATGCAGGTAAGAGAACATGAAGTAAAAAGGCAGTGATGACCAGAAATTAATCCAAGAAAAGCCTGACACTGTAGCCAGGGTTTACCTTGTGGCAGACCCAGGGAGTCTGCCTTCCTTGAGTGGTATCTTAACAAACTTTGATATTTTTCCTGAGATAAAGCACTGTTTTCACAGTGAAGAGAGGTCTAAAAAGACAAAGGCAGCGAGGTTGGCTGATTGGAGACTGCCAGGAATTAAGGGGGTTAACCCTTGTCATTTTATGTAGAAACTAGTTATTTGCATATGCCAGACTTCCCCACAGCAAGCAGTTGTATCTCATGGCCAAGTATCTGACTCCCACCAGTTTAGAAAGGCCCAAGTTTCTTCCAATATTTTATTTTAAACACCAAGATTGCTTTTTGCTCTCTCATATATTCCATACAATACACACAGCAAGCGAAATTAAAACTGTAAATAATCAGGGTCTGCTCCCAGGCTACGTTATTTGTTTCAAGGGTCTGAAAGCGGAGGGGATTCACTTTTTCATCTGCCAGTATAACTGATTTCTGGTAACCTGGGAGCCCTGAAAGCACTGCTGATGGTAACTGTGGCCTGGGACAAGCCTTCATGGGTGTGGCTGGTCTTCCACGGGTTGCCCACCAGACACAGGGCACCCACTGGACGAGGCTTCCAGCACCAGGATGGACTGACTGGCTACAGGGCCGGTGCATGCTCAAAGTGTAGGCACAGCACTGGGAAACTTAATTACCTCATGGCTTATTTTACCTTTTGTTATGAGCTGTTCGTTGATTTGGGGCTCACAACACTAGCAGGCCATAAACACGGTTCAAGTCATTTGTTCCACCGCTTGCAATAATGCCACAGTGAGCGAAAGGACGACTCCGTTTACTTTCTGGAGAGGCGGCCACGAACCTCCCGCAGCTGAGGAGGGGGTGCGTAGGGGGGTTTGCTGGCACGGCCCCCGCTGCAGCCCCTCAGCCCTTTTCCCGCGGCCTCCCGCCCCGCAGGCCGACACAAGCATCGTGGCTGCT